AAAACCCTGACACGCTGAAGATCCCCGATACGCTTCTGTTTTCCTGGGGAATGCGAATATTAAGTTTAAGAACCGTTGCAATCAGAGGTTTGAAAAAAGAATTCTTCAAAAACACCGACTAAATGTTACCACAATATCGGCAAAATGCACTCGAAATGGAACGAAACTTCCACAACGCGACATAGTGCACGCGTCGCACACACGCACAAGTTTTCATAGGACAGCAGCTATAGCTCTTCGGAGACATCACGTACGCCCGGCATGCACAATACTGGTTCCCGCCGCTCGCTGACAAATTGATATCAAGATTAGACGGGTTAGGAGCCCGAGACTACAGCTCCGGATCGATTCGGTGCACAGCCGCAATGGCATGCTGGCAGCTTGCCCGAACCTTTCAAATAGTGTCCCCTTGAAAGCTATCGAAGTAAGCTACAACTAACTAACTTGTCAAAAACTTGGGTTCCTCTCTCTGCAGTTTCTTCTATTGCATTTATATCGATGGTTATTTTGACATGCTTTGTCGTGGTTTACGAGGACGCTTTTTTGGTAAGACCGTGGCACACGGGTCTCGGTGGTCGGTGGTACGAGTACTGAAGTGTGACGTCACTCTGAACCAGAAAGTGCAGTGCACAAGAATGGATTTCATTGGTATTATGGCAAACATGAAGATGGAGGATCTCTCGCATGAGTTGAATGTAGAAGTCCAGAGCTGACCCAGCGTCTTTTGGAAACTGACATCCATTTTCACCAATCATGTACAACACATGTCATAAACATCTTTGTCACATGGAATGTTCTTTCTCGATGTACATTCGTCTTGACAGGCTAGAATGTCGACGGTTCATCAGACATCGGACACAGGTAGTCAATGAGGCCGTGGCAATTCTGGCATGTAGTACATAACATCAGGACGACCACTTGGTGAATGGGCATTTCTTGATGGAGGGATGAAGTGTCGATTCCACGTCGTGACTATATCAAGATCACCCTGCAGTAACATACCAAATACGAGTAAATCAAAAGTTAAGATATTAACACAATCGTTATCACAGCCAATCTATATTTGCAAAACGACAAACCAAATTCAGTTGCGCAGTATAGCCCGTGTAGACTCACTGTTGACAAGATCTGTTAGCTTTTGAATATGTTTGAGGTATGGTGCAACCCCCAAAACGAAGGATAATGTTCAGGTTGATGTTCGCTCGATAAATAGTTCCAATATCTCTAACTTATGCTGGGTCCTATACCTGAATAAGACTCAGGAAACAGAAACGCATCAAATTCACATCCAGGAAGTATCCGCCGAATTGGCCATCGTCCAGCATCTGGCGGAAGGAGCGCATCCAATAGTCTGTGCATTCCCTCCTGAGGAGTGACCACAAATACCCAATACGCTGATTGGCGGTACTAATTGTTCCTTCTAAGTAGCTGAGATCGCCTGCCATGGCGTCATTGTCCTCCATTCGCATGAATCTCTGCACGCACATACACGTTTTCAGCACCAGCATTACCGCGTACCATTCGTGGACATCCGCTTCGAGATTTTACTACTGCTGTGAAGTAGCCGCCAATCATCTTGGGTCGGAGTTAGTATGATACGCATTCAACCACAAAATTGTCCTCGAGAATCCATCCGCACACAAGTTGATGCACACTCCGTATCTTTTGAGTTTGTCATAACTGTCCAAATGTCACAGGTAGTTTGGACCCTTTGATGAGTAATATCGGCGAAGCAATCTTCTCCTTCTTCTTTGCGCATTCCCCTCTGGGTCCAACACGGCCAAAATGACACGGACATCCTCCTTTCTGCATTGCAGGTTACGTAGTACGCATTTCTCATACATCCACCTATCCCCGTGCAATTTTCCCAAAGTTTGTATCTGTGCACAAATAAATTCAATCACGTCTCCAATGCCACTGTAGTTCTTCCTTCTAAAGATACCAAGTTCTCTCAGTAGCCGTTTTAGCTGACGCAGTGAAAATACAACTCCATGTACAATTGCAAGTATCCTGACAATGTCTTGGTACAATAAACCGATATAAAAGTATACCTTAATTGCCTGATGAACATCATCTGTGATCATTTTCTTTAGTCGTTTCTCAACTCCTGCTTATACCTATTAAAAGAATAAATCGGAAGTATATTATGGAAAGAAACAAATCTGGTCAAATGTTGAGGATTTTGGTTTTCGGTTTCTTAAGGTGCAGCATTACGTTATGACGGATTATCCTGACTTCCACAAGGCCTCAATGACAATGTGACTGATTGTTTGGAATGAATAAATAATATAATTCGTGAAAACTCACCAAACATCTTTTGACCTACCTTACTATAGAAGTGGTAAGTGAAACTTGGAGGAACTCGAGAGCTTGCTTGAAAAGTCACACCTCTTCATGCTATTTGGAGGGGACGAAATCATCATATCGAGGGAACGAAATCAATATTTCGAGAGAACGAAATCAACATTTCGAGGGAACGAAATCGTGTATTACGAGGGAACAAAATAATATATTACGAGGGAACGAAATCATAATTCGAGGGAACGAAATAAAAAAATCCTCATTGTGCCTGTCCCTTCAGGGGCTCCGTAAAAAAGGACTAATATCATTTAACATTAGCGAGGAAGACTGGGTTGAAGACGGAGGGAAGACTAGCGACAAGACTAGTGGACAGACTATGGACAGACTGACCATGAAACATTTTGGGGTTGATTGTTTATATAGGGAGATTCAGGCTGGGTGGTATAACTTCCTTAAACTGTGGTCAGGCCTGTGGTTGTAAAATTATGGCCTTGGAGTCTTGGGGAGTGGGGGCAGTACTTGGAAATTGACCACAAACAGGGACTTTATTAGGGTCTTAATTACCAAGAAATTAAACGGAAGTCGGATCAACGGTACGTGAGGGACCTGTGACTAAATGATTAATTCTGGGCTTACACTATGTACAATAATATTCTACGCAGTTATGGCGCACGTACTCAAAGACTAGAAACGTTACTGCCTGGTTCGTTTTGAAATACTTTATTGTAATCTACTTAGGGTTATAAACATTTGAAACAACACATGTCATCGTGAATAGTTTATTATTATTATCAACAATAACAAGTGATACTGAGAATCGATGCCGTACCGTAGGCCTACATGTTGTTGCTCGTACTCTTGGAAATCATTGTGGCATGACCATAGAGCTATTCGCAACTCTATGGTTTGACACATTCCCAATGAAAGAAACAACCAATCCGCCAACGCAACGTCCAACAAAAGTCCTAATTTACTGCGGCAGCCTCGATTACTGTGCATGTACATGTACTTTGTTCTGGAAGTTTTGCCTTTGTTGGGGAAAACCTGACAGCATGACAGTGTTTTTTTTTTCTACCAAGAACTATTGTTCGAATGACTAGAATAGATAGGCTAATTAAATCTTCTTTTTTATTATTTCTGTGGATCTCATTGATAGTTCGGCAACAAAGATGGGATGGTCGGTGGATCGAATAAAATCCTAAAATAATTTTTAAAATTGAAACAATCACAAGGCTAGATAAATTGTGTTTGATGAATGGATTTCGTCTGAATTATACTTCATTTTCTATAAATTTAATGCATTCATATAGGGGGCGCTGTAGCTGCCATTGTTGAACATTCGCGAGCCCACGTGCGTGGAGAGAAGAGTAAGCAGACGAAAGGTAGCTTCATTTTTTTGTGTTAAATAAGGAGACATTTCATTCAAAATTTGTGCCCAGTGTTTTGTTCAATGTATGAGAGATTACTGCTAGTTTTAGCATTTCACTGCTTCTGTTCAGTATTTTTTCACCTCGAATATGAACGAGCAAGTTCGAACTAGGCTAAGTTGAACATGCTACAGTCCCGTCCGTGCAACATACCATAACGCGGCGCACTTTGATTTTCGCCCGCTGCTTCACTTGGACAAGCTTTTATAGCTCCATGGTTAGAATAATTTTTTACCTCAATTCTTCAAATTTCACAATATCTGAAATTTCAATTTCATCACAACCTTTTAGACGTCACTCGTAGCCCAGGTTGGACGTCGTCTACCGGTACATTGCATTGTGACTAACGCCCAACAATGCGCAATTTTTCTCAACTCTTTTTTCTCACATTTTTACCAGGCGAAGACAGCTCAAATGTTGTTCACAGGTGCCTAGTATTCCAAAGTGTGGAGTTTCGCAAAATTTCCTGCAAAATACATTGTCTGCGGGTGTATTCCATTATTTCAACGCAGCATTTATGGACTTTGGGATACAAGGCACTTATGAACGACATTTGAGCTGCCCTCACCAGGTAAAAATGTGAGGAAAAACTTTGGAAAAATTTTGCATCGTGGGAGGAGTTTTATTCCCTGGACGTCTGTCGTAGTAAATGAAGACAAAGTCCAGCCTGGGCCAACATCACTGAGTCTTGATTCTTCTCTCTGATTGGTCTTTTTTTCAAAATCGTATCTATGAAGGCTGGGGGCGCTGTCGAAAACCGAATTTTTCACTTCCGGGGGTTATGTTGTCAAGGATAGGAAGGAAAGTTTTTGTGTGACCTTGACTGCATACAGCTGGCTAGACGTGGCACTTGGCATCTACCCCAAGGGGGAACAGGCCACGTTCCTTAAAAGCTGGATGACTCCATCTGTAGCATTTTGTGCGTGAAGCTCCGGTGAGTATCTCTTGATAGTTTGGTAAGATATAGGCCTAATGCAACAACTTCAACCCCGAGAAAAGTCCTCAATATTTTTGCAGTCCCTCACTTCTTTGTGAGCTGCACCATGTGCACGGCTGGGCTAGGCTAGTCTTTTTGTAGAAACCATCCTAGGCTTAGGTCTAGTACCACTCGGCAACATAAATTAATAAATTGTTGAATTAATTGTATTAGCCTCCCTATTATAGGGCCTACATCACTCTACTGATGTTATCTTGAAGAGGATGTCGTAAGAAATATTTTGATATAAATTTGGATTCCATTGGACTCTGCAAAGCAAAGAAAAATCTATTTGAAGTGGGGATGTTTTGAGATGTGTTTTGTACACGTGTAATGCAGGGCAAACTGTGATTATTTTGTACACAAAAGTGAGTGTAGACTTTAACTGAAAGCTTAACATTTATGTTTTTGTAAAATCTTTGTTCTTATTTGTGCCTTATTTCAATGAATCAAATGCAGGCTTTACTTCAAATTTCAAAAAAATTGAGAATGGAACTGCATGCAAAAAGACTATTTAAGAAAAACGAGTTTCCAAGTAAACAGCGCTCTCACTCATGTAGTCATTCCCCTACCAATAATAAACCTTTTGTTGTTTTGCAATGCATTATGGGTTTGGATGACAAGCAAGCAATACATTTTATGCACAACCCTATGAGTGAAGTGTACATGCCTGCAAAACAATCTGTTACCATTTTATTTCATACTCCAGTTCAAGTCATCTTCTTCTCACAGTGTTGCATTACAGATTTGGGATGAAGATAGTCACAAACCTTGAAGTATCACATGGCAGAAAAGAAAAATTCAGGGAATCTCTTCAATAATACTATCTGGTCATAGACCACGCCTTGACTGAGATCGTGAGTACTATTGCCCAATCAAAATCATGACTTGTAAGTTGTAGCTCATTCATCCTGTATTGACCAATCACGTTATTTTCAGCCTAGAATGATTTGTGCCCTTAAAAAAGACAATTAAGGGTGATTTTTCCACTCACAAATATTTGAAAATTTATTTAATTTTTTTACAAAGTGCAATAAAGAGCGTGTTGCTGTTGGCCTTGGGAGAAACTGACTTTTTTTTTTTTTTAGATAATAACAACTCAAATTTATAAATGTAGTTTTTATCTCCCTACTTACAGAACTTGCAGAATGGTGCCGATGTGTAACACAATCATGGCATCATCTTTAACGGAGGATGATATTCCAGGTGCAAAGTTTGAAACAGACCCTTTGTCAGCAACAGTGCTGCAGCTAAAGAGATGGTTGGCATGCAGAAGAGGCGCTTCAACTTCTGGAGTTAAATCAGAACTTGTACAGAGGTAAGTTACGTGAATCTTTTCATAGCAAATATTGTAAATTTTTTTGGGGGGGGGTCTGATTTCTTGTACAGGTAACTGATACTGATATCTAAACATTAATCATGGTAATGGCAAATAGTGAAATAACCTTTCTGAAATGACTTTTGTGGGGACATAATGAAGACTACTGAACTTTTGAAAGATGTTGGATATCTTTGTTGAGCCATTATAATTTTAAGTGACACCAATAATGACGCGGTATGTACCTGTTACTACTACAAATTACTTTGCTGTAGCCAGGACTTTGTTATAAAGAGTAGAAAAACAAAGAATAAATAAGAATTCAAGAAAGTGGGATTCTCAAAATCCTTTATAAGTAACAGTATTTTGTTATAACAATGGTGTTTATGAGAGTCAACTGTACCATTGGTTCAGTTCTAGAGGTACGTTCATTCCAAGTGCAATGTAGCATTTTCCAGTAGCACCTTTCAGCATTTTAAAGAGGAAACCTACCTCTTATTGGAAACCATGAGACTGCTCTTGAAGCCCACAAATTGCCTCTCTTGTATTCTTAATAAATACATTGTAGCAGGGTATGTTGCTTTGACCATGCATGAGGCCAGTGCCTATGAGTGTCATATGGGTATGCATATAAAGACGCCTCATGTTAAACAAGGGGGTTTTGAATCAGAAAAATTGAAATGACCCAATCTGGAATTTTTCCTCCAGTTAACAATTACAGCATACCAGTACATGTACATGTATGTGGAAGAAGAGCATTAGAATAAGATGGTTTATTTTTAGCTTTGATTCATTTTGTTATTGCAGAGTATGCAATTATATCAGTGGAGGTCTGTCAGAGACATTGTTGATTGATCCGGAAAACACCCAGCATGCGGTGGACAGGGAGAGAGGGAGGACAGTGTCTGCTGTTACATGTACCCCTACAAGTTTCCAGCAACCTCCTAAAGACGGCTGGACAAGCAACTTATCCCATGTGAGTTTGCACTTTCCAAAATTAGGAAAACCTAATTCAGCATTTGAATAATCCTGAAGACTAATTCAGATCTTCAGACCATGATTACAAATGTAGCAGAGATCAAATGTGACTTTGTGTAACATAAACTTATCTTGCTAATTCCTCATTCCTTTGGATGAAACAAAATCATGGGAAAAAAAACAGGTTGGCCAAAAATTTGTTTGAGTGAACTATTAATTAAACGAAACAAATGAAGCAATGCTAGGTAATCCACTTTGCTTGGATTGCATGTTCCAGGTGCTGTGTCTTTTGGAGCAATGTGGCATTTTCTTGTGAACCAGCCACATTTGAAAGAGAAGGCAAAAGGATGTGACAAGCAGTTTGGAAAGGGGTATAAGCTTAGTGTTCAGGGCATGTTAAAGATATTATGTATCACCCTATGTCTTCAGTATTTCCATTTATCTATCTAAAAGCAACTGTTCTTCCAACAATGACAAAATCAAAAATGTACACAAGTTGTATATCAGTATGGCAATCATCTCACCATATACACTCAACATATTGTACATGCCCTGCAGGATTGGGTGGCATTTGTTGCCATGTGGCAGTATTTTTATATGTATGCTCAGATACCAGAATTTCAGGTCATACCGACCTCTATGTTTCAGAACCCTTTATATCACGTACATCCTATCCTCAACAGTGGCACTTGCCCCGTAGAAAACAAAAAGGTGATAATTTCCCAATCAGTGACGCAGCGTATGAGAAATACGACCCCACCTAGCCAAAGAAGAGAAAACCAAATATAAGGCAATCTGACCCCAGACCAAATTACCTTCAGAGAAACAATCGCAAATCCAGTGCATTTCTCCATGTCTTGCCATTTGCTCCATCTTTATCTGCCATTTCATTTGATCATGACTACATGTGTACTGCATCTGAATCAACCAGAAATCCAAATCAATCCCAAAGAAACTCAATGAGCTCAGTAGCTCCCAATTCAACTGGTTCAGGAAGCTCTCAACAATCAACAGATTTGTTGACTGTTATATCCACCACATTTGAATTCATTCAAAGCATAATTATTGTAAGCAACGAGATCCCCAAACCATCTGAAGAATTGTCAGTTGATGAAGAGTTTAAGGATAAGTGTGGTAAGTATGAGCAGGCACAGAAAGTGACAACTGAAGAAGTTGAGTAACTTGAACAGTCTACCAGGGGTCAGTCAGTCAATGAAAACTGCCATAAACATAGACAGGAGAAAGTTACAGCATCTGTGGCTGGTGCCATTATCAATAGGAAGAAAACAACTCCACCTGATAATCTTCTGAGAAGAATTATGGGATATGACAATCTGAAATTTATTTTAAAGGCTTGTAAACATGGGATAGAGTGTGAACAAAGGGCTGCAGATGCCTACATAGAGTACATGAAAATGAATGTTCACCCAGACATTTGTTTGAAGGAAACAGGATTTTCTGTCATGCCAGAAAGTTCACGGCTAGGTGCCAGTATAGACAGAATTATTTCACATCCTTTAAGTCAGCCTCATAAAGGAAACGCTGAAATCAAGTGTCCATTATCAAATTTAACAGTGGCAGACCTTGTAATTCAGCGTGGTTCATCCTTTCCACTTCAGAGAGACTCAACAGGCAAGTTAAAGCTTAACCATCATCATGTGTATTATTACCAAGTACAGTGCCAGCTTGCAGTAACAGAGAGAATGGTGTGATTTTATCATGTACGTAGAAACACCTGAGGGAAAAGATATTCATGTTGAGCGTATCTGGTTTGACCAACAAGCATGGGAAACATTGTCTTTCCTAAACTGAAGGAATTTTACATAGGATATGTTGTGCCAGAGATTCTGACTAGGCAAATCAAACTTGGCTTCTCCATGTTTCCAGAACTTTTTCATTATGAAAATGCTAGAAACACAAGCAAAAGAAGTGAAGAGTAGGTATTTTGTTGGATTTACATGGTACATGGAAATAACTGTTTCCCTGCAATTACATAAAGTCCTTGGATTTGCCAGAGCACTTTTAGGCTCAAATAAGTTCAAATTTTATGTGAAATTTCCAAAGAATGCTTACATTTACAAATCATATTTATTGCCACTTTCCTGCAGATGTAGTAATTTGACATCTTTCCCCAGACTGCGTGGTGGAATAACGTTGGAGAAAATTGTTTTGACTTTAATTTATTGATTAGTTGAACATTTAATGAAATAGCAGATGAACGTGCAGGTGTGTAGAAAGACAATTCCTATAAGACATTAAGTGTAATCATAGTACGTAGACATGTTAATTTCAACACATGGGTACATATTTTATAAAGAAACAAAAATGAAATGCCTGTCTTATGATATTGACAGTAACTTGTTAGATGTTATCTTCAATAACAGTATTTATTATCAACACAGTATTTATTGCCACCTGTCTTAACCCCTTGACGACAGGAATTTCTTCCCAAAAGCCGACTCCAAGAATTCCATCCTCGCTTGGCCACGAAGGCCACCATGTGGGATGTGGAATTTTCAGAGATTTGTTCTAGTGCACCGCATTATTAGGGAACACTCGGCTGAATTTGTGCCAACTTCAGGATGCTGTCGTTTTTTAATGTTGGGCTAGTAAATTTAATTACACCAAAATTGTTGACATAGGTGATCAGGAACATGTTACGAAGTTTATAATATCATTGTTTAACTGAATGAATTTAAATGTTTTTAGCAAAGAGATTTGGCAGTGAGGCATGAGGAAAATGAAGGAAAGGTTGAAGAGCGGCACGCTGGAGGACTCAACTATACTAGGGCCAGTCTAGTGGACTATGGGTACCTCCGTATCCTTGGCTTTATTCCTAAACTGGAAACAAGTGGAGGAAGGCTTAAACATTGGGAAAAAGCTACCTGGCCATGAACAGCTGAGCAACATACACACATTTTTCAATTGCCTTTTTGATTAATTCACCCAGCAGTTTATCATGTTAATTCATTTGCCCAAACTGAAATTCTCTGACCATCATGCCTGTTGGCAAATTGTTTACAATTTTGTCATGTCGACACCCTTCTACAGTGATTTGCTCAAGATCTTTACTGGTGATGAACACATTACAACTCAAGGCACCAGCAGTTGTGGTGATCTCAGAGAATGTTGATTAATGCACACCGCATTTTTATAAAACTGCATGTGCTCAATTCAGTGTACAGGTATGCTTTTGTTGTTATGGTCATGTGAAGTTCAAGACCACATACTTGTATGCGCTGGCCCCTTGTATCAAGTGTGGTAGTGGAGAAATTTAAATTTGGGGCTGATCTAGCTGTCTTGGAAAAATGAGCTTTGCCCAAGAATGGAATATTTGATATGAATTTACAAAATTACATTAAACATTACATTAATTTAATTACATTAATTAAAAGTCAAAATGACCACAAAGAAAGACTGTAAAATGCCTCAAGGTTAAGCTTGTGAAAAAACCTTCGCAGAGATACCGGAAAATATATTGCAGGTGATTCCACATGCCCCCCAAGCTTTTTTATGGTTTAACTTGTAGTTATAGTTCATAGTGCTTGGTTTTCTAGCTTGTTTAATTCTTTGGATTACATCATTTTTGGGGGGGGGTGTTGATCATAGTTTCGGTTTTGATATCTAGAAATGGTATCTGAGTCCTTACTAATTTTGCTCTGTGCAACTTTTCCCTCGAAGATTCTTCATTTAGTTGGAGTTTCTCTCCCCTCGTCGAGCGCCATTTTTGCAGGTTACATTTACCAATTGAACATACTTCTTCTGCACACAGGCACGCATTGATGCTGGATTCCACCTGTGCACATAATGTGCATCTGGGTAACGAACATCCATCTCATTCAGGTAAGAGATGACTGGATGATTGAGGTACATGTACGTAAGTCTAGACATGACATAATGCTCATGCATACATACTTGACACCTGCTAACCCTTCTGAGTTAAATGGGGTGGCAAGCGAGAATCTTGTCATTGTGTGTGGGGGAGGGGGAAAATAACCTTTCCCCACCCTTCTTGGGTCAGGGAGATCAGGCATAAATTGAATACCTTTACATATTTAAACTAAAGTTCCAGTTGCCTCTTGGTGCAGCCAGTCAAAAACTGTATGGTTCTGTGTTAGTAAGCCAGTTGCAAGTTAAATTTGAATAAAATCAGGTATACTGAGTTATGTGATTGTGCATAAATGTAACAATTTGAATTCCGCAGACTAAAGACACTTACTCTACCTCATGATTCGGAGCAAACTTTTGCATTGCAACCACCATCTCTGGAATAGACTGGTTCCTTTGTGCCTTTCTTATTCATCTTAATCCTAACCCTGCCAGATGCACTGGTCATGTAAAGACAGTGGGAGCTAGTCCCATTGAACAATGCCACTGTTGGATCTTGTGGTGACTGGCAACCACAGACTCCCAGGCTGTTTGGCCTTGGGGAGAGTTGACCTGTTGGATCTTGTGATACTGGGCAGGCAAGCCACTTTGACAAATGATGCAGTTTGATGTGTCTGGCAGGGTTTCTATCTGAACAATATTGTGCTTGTTTTAATTATGTGACAATTGCTTTGGAATCATTCATGTTAATTGACAGACATGGGTCTTTCTATTTCTCCAGCCCAATTTTCCTTTTTTTTATTATGAGGGCACTTGTTGGCAAGTGGATAGAAGCAGAGATGGCAATGAGAGTGGAAGGAACATGTGCTGTCTGTCAAGGAGAAGTCTGTCTTCTGCAGTGACTGTAAGTTGTCTTTTTAAGCATTAAGGATGACGTTGATACTGTCAATTCTGCCCTCAGGATTGCATGCAATTTGTCTTTTCAGCTGTTTAAACGTGATGCGGGAGAGATAAATATAGTCATTAAGGGGCTAGCAAGTTACTGTCATGTTTGCAGTGATTCCTTGGTGGTTTTGCATTTTTGCCATGCCTTGAATACTCAACTTTCTGTTCTTCATGAACATCAGTATGGAGGCTGTGGAGACCATCAGAGAGCAGTTCTGACAGTAAGATTTGAAACTTTGCATGACGGAGGCTAGGGTGAGAGAGGGTTTGTGGGTACACCACATGGAATCAATGTCTTCTATAGGAGTGGGGGGTTCTGACAAGAACCAGTGAGTGGGAACTCCTCAGGGGAGACAACCAGAGCTTCCTGGTGGAAACATCAAGTTCACACTCACAAGTTCTCAGAACCACCGTTCTTATAGGAGAAATTGATTCGACAAATGGTGTTCCAACAAACCTTCTCTCTGCCAGAACCACCGTTCTTGTAGAAGAGATTGATTCTACACATGGCGTACCTGCAAACCTTCTCTGTCAGAACCACCGTTCTTATACCGGACTCAAACAACACCAAGCCCATGGCAGGAAGGGAGAGTATGAGAAGTCAGCGATAGTCAAGCATTTCCACTCTGAAGACCACCGCATCAACTGGGACCAAGCCCATCTCATCACCAGCATCGAGCACTGGTACCCAAGATGCATCAGAGAAACCTTGGAGATCCTCAAGCAAGACACCATTCCCCAAGACATCGGCTTCTCCATCAGTGACATCCAGCAACCCCTGCTGACCTCCCAGTCCAATGGGTCCTCTATACCCTAGGACACCCGCCTATGGGTCTCCTATACCCCCCGGCCACCTCACCCCACCCCAACCACTGCCCAACTGACACGCCTCACTGACCAGCTGGACCCCTTCCGCATGATGGTGCCCAGCTGGCTCCACCACTAGCATCCTCGTCACATTCCACTGCATCCTGTCACCTTATATAAACAGCTTCCTCATCAGCATCTCTTCAGTCTCCTGACGACGGACTGAGCACACAGCCTGAAACGTTGAGTATACTCCCGATTAGGCTTTTCAGAACCACACATACTCATAAGAGATACATTCCTTCGCATGGTGCTACCGCAAACCTTTCCACTTATTGCTGTCTTTCACAAATAACATCCTGACATTCCATCAAAAGCTATAATCCAACATCATAAAAGAAAACTTGGCAAAACGTAGACACAGAAAAGCCAAAACACATCAAATTAATTCCTTCTTGAAAAGTGAAGAGAAAATTCAAATCCTTGTTGAAAATGTTGCTTTATAAAGCAGTGATCTTGACAACATGAGGGATAACAAACTATACGTCATTTTCTATGGAGAAAGGCAAACATACACAATAATGGCGGATTGTGGGCTTTCCTGGTAGCTCTTAAATTTGTCAACTGTAGCTATTACGAGGCCCAGTAAAATCAGTGTCACGGCAGCCAAATGCAATGTTACTCTTACCCAAACCAATCTTCCGGTCACACTTAGTGTGATTGAAACCAGTGGAGGGTGGACGTGAGGATACGTTCCTCGTCATCACGAATCAAATCTACAGTTATAGTAGACAACAATAACTATAGATTTGTTTTGCTGTTGATAGTTACGAATCTACAGTTTGCTGTTTTCGTAAGTTACGAATCTACAGTTAGATTTCCAAGTAAAATTTTCATCCAGGTTACACCCAAAAATTTTGAACTTTTAACCTGCATCAACCTCAAATTGTTGAAGATGAAATGAGCATTTTGTCTATACTTAAATTGTAATTGAACAAAATATTATGTTATGTGATTTTAGGGCATTAATACACGGTTTGTTTGCTAAAATCCACTCATTTAGTTGAGCAAGTTCCAAATTAAGGTTTTGGATTGCTTCATTTCCATTATTGTGCGTATACCACAAACTTGTATCATCGGCAAATAAACAAAATGTTGTACTGTTTGAGGTACTGCATATGTCGTTGATGTAACTTAGAAATAGCAACGGACCTAACACAGAACCTGGTGGTACCCCACATGTGATGGCTGGACTGCTGGAATTAACAGATTTAAATGACATGGACTGCTCTCTGTTGTAGAGATAACTTCAGATAATTCCAGAGCTGTACTATGGATACCGTAATGCTCTAATTTTGTAATTAAAATATTATGATTGACAGTGTCAAAAGCTTGTGATAAGTCTAAAAATACACCAATGGAGAAATTCTGTTTGTCAATTGCACTACATTCATGTAATTTACTAACAATACACAATATTGCCGTTTCAGTAGAGCATTTTTGTCTGAATCCGAATTGTCATTCAGAAAGAATGTCATGTTTATTGATAAAAGATATTAATCTCTGAGATTTAAGCTTTTCAAACAATTTCGAAAATGTAGATAGGACAGAAATAGGTCTATAGTTGGTTACATTGTGCTTACAACCATTTTTGTAAATTGGTTTTACCTAGGCTATTTTTAGACAATCAGGAAACACTCCAGCTGTTAGTCACTTGTTAAAGATATCAACCAGGTGCTTAGCAAGTGCGTTCCTTGCCTGCTTGATGACAAAGGGACTTGGATCATCCCAACCAGAGGCCTTCCCAGAAGGGAAATTGCTTATTCATGTGGATTGGGTTTTCAGTCCCTACCTGATTCCTGGGTTTTACCCCGACTATTCCTCTGGGGTTTTCCTCCCTCCTCTAAACCTGTAACTGCTTCTCATTGTCTCCTCTCTACAGGTTTCTTCAAGCTCGCAAGCTACGGTGCCTTGTACACTTTTGAGTTGTCTATTACCAGAAATAGTTATGAATGAAACAGTGTTGTAGTAGAGTACTTTCCGAGTACCAACGTTCTACGCAAAATACTGAACTGGGTAAGACAGAATAAAGCCAGAGTGCACAGGCATTTGATGGAAAATGTAAAAAGGTAAGATTACAAAATAAATGTTAGACTTCAGACACTCCCAGTTGTGTAAAATTTAAGTTTTAAGGAGAAAAGTACACGGAAAGTACTCGGCCAAGTACTTTCCGAGTACTTTTGTCCTAAAAAGTTAATTTTAGTCAAACAGTGATGGTCTGAAGTCATTATGTTGATTTGTAATCTTACCTTTGTGCATGTACCATCAAATGCCGATGTACTTCAGCTTTGTTCCCTTCCAACTAGTTAAATATTTGGTAGACAATTTGGTTCTCAAAAAGTACTCAACTACATCACTGGAATGAAATAATAATAACAAATAAGATGACCAGTCCAGTTTGCAACTCTGGTTAGAATGGGAAAGAAAATTACTACAGAACTGAGCTACTGGAATTTCATTTTTGAAGAGTTCCATACCGTTTTTAGGATTTCATCTGCATTACTCTTGTATTTTATGAAGTGATTGATAGCAAATATGACTTTAAGGTTCAAAGAACTTGCATCGTAGTTTCATTTGAGCTAGGAAGCGGGTGGAATGTCCCAAAGTTGCTTTGTCTTGAACTCAAAGCTTTCACCTCATATTTCCTATGCTTTGTCAATACAGAGTACAAGATGTCCCATAGGTCTACCTTGATGGAGCTGATCCAATTCACCTCTTCCCTTTTGTGACCACCCGGATGTTAACCTCTGTGACGTCAAGGAGCTCCATCCAAAGTCAGTTAAGTCAAGCCCCAGGTAAGCTTGTCTTTCCTTTATTTCTGGCCCAGTATTGTTTTAACTTGTGAAAAAGAAAGAGACAACTTACTATGATCAAAGTGACTGGAATTAATTTATTTTTATCACTTCTTGGGCATTCACTCTAATTTCATTTCCTCAAATCTTGCATTTTGTGACCTTTGCCACTCAGGACAATGTGAAACACAACCACTCCATGAACGCCTCAGACTGGGGTTATTCATTTTCCCTGTTCAATTTTTGCTTGTAAGTTTTTAGGCGAGGTGCCAGCATTGATAAAAATTAACTGCTGATACATGTCAGTGCATGGTCACTAAAACGAGCGAGATTGGATGGTTTACCTTTGAATGGGCAGGGGAAGCCCTGCGCTCGATCACATCTTTCTCCTCACCGGTCTTCTAGCAGCAGGTGCATTTTGTACATATATGTGGGAATTTGTAGTATCCTGCCTGAGAGAGCACCGCCATTCTTCTTCAGCTTTACCTGGGCTTCCTTAACAACTATATAGCTTGTGCTTAAACTCAAATGTGCATGCCTTATCAATCAAATTCCTCAGTTTGCTAGGGCCATTCAGACTTCAGTGACATTGTTGCAAGCAGGGTTCAATTGCCGTACACGCCATTTTATGATGATGGGTTTGGGGCCCATTGGAGTGGGAAGACTTTCATGCAGACCTGTGGGAATACCTCAGTGCAATACTTTTAAGAAGATGGTCACCGGTTTGTTACACTTGCAAAATCTTGTGGAAACACTGACACACATGTGGATTAGTGTTTTATGGTGTCACGACTGAACAATAATCATAATGGGGGATATACTAGAAATGGGAATTAGCAAACAGATAGACAGGTCCCTTGGTTAAACACCCAACTATACACAAGTGTGAGGGCATTTTCAAGAGATAACTGGCCGTGCGTTGGTGGTAGACAGCCTTTAAGTGCTTAATGGTGTTACGCACAGTGGTTCTTAGCATGAGCTGACACTGAGAAATACAAAGGATTGGATTAGCTTTGGTCGCAAATGCTCTGGCCAAGACGCCATTTTAGTATAGTTTGATTAACCACTACCCTACCCTCCAGTCAGAGTTACTGGGGGAAAATGGGGGAAATTGGACGATGGGATATCTTGAGCCTTAATTGGTAATACTAGGCTCAAGTGTATGATTGTTCTATTCAGCAAATGTTAATGTCCAAGTGTTGAATGTTTTGTCATGTTCACAGCACTGATGCCTGACTGTAGTGTGACATGACTCGTCTACCTCTCTGCCTTCAGTACTAGTGAATGTCCTGTCGCTGACACCATGCAGCACCTGTTGGAATCACAACACATCACTGAAATGCGGTGACATTTTCACTTTTACTTACCGGCGTAAGTGGGTTAAACTTTGCGGGAGGGAGGAGCACTTTGGATGTCCTCACTTTTCAGAGGGGAACACTCAGTGGGGTTTGGTCAAAGTTAACACAGACCAAGACCAAGATTGACTATCACACACCCCTTTTTTCTCTCTCGTTATCTGGGGGGGGCTTGTAGTAACGCCTCCGTTCTTGGTGTCTAATTTACTTTGCTACTCCATTCACCTGAAGTATATGAAGTGGCCTGTGGGTTGTCAAAAGACCCTTTCTGCACTAACCCTAGCTTGCTTTCATCTCAAGCACTCTACTGGGGACTAGGAGCAAAAACGAGTCTTGAGTCAGGGAATATCAGATTCTTGGAGGTCAACCTCTGCACTGTCTCATGTTTTGTGATTTTATTTTTCACAGGCCTTGTCTGCTTGCGCCGCCGTGTTGTACATGTACAGACATTGTTTTGGTGTGATTGATGGATCTGTGTGATTGTTCCATCCTGCTGTGCTATCAGTTGATTGATCCTATATAAAAATCTGTTGATCCTATTGATATCACTAATAATACTATGAAATTCTGATCTTTTCTGTCCAATTCAGGGATATGGAAAACTTTCCAAAGGGGCATTGAAGTCTGAGATTTCATACGCAGATCAGTCCATTGACGAGATGTTCCAAACCATCCATCATTCAGGTGATGTTACTTATACTATTGTTAACCAAAGTTGTCACTCCAACTTGTCCTAAGTAATTAGTTATTAAATAGTAGTTATTAAATTAACATCTCCCCAACGCAAAAATACATCTTGAAAATAGTTCGCGGTACCCGCTGCTTCATTTGACTTGGACCGGCCAGCCGACCCCGGCAAGCTCGGTGGTCGAGTGGTTAAGACATCTGCACAAGTAAGCAGGAGGTCGTGGGTTCGAGTCCCACCCAAGTAAGCTTGTGAGGTTTTTTTGCAAGCTCTCAGACAAGCACTGAGCATACAGTGCTTATTAATATACGTTGGGTAAGGGCAAAACCTGTTATATATAATTGTCCTAAGTATACCTACCTTAGCCTAGCTTTTAACCATTCGGAAGTGAGACATGTATTTCATATGTTAAACTGGTTGTCAAAGTTTATTGAGAGAAAACCAGAGATAGACTGACATGTTTCAGTCAAAGTAGAAGATAAGCTCAATCTCTCACTGGTAGAGTTGTATTTAAATATTATCGGCACATTTTTCCAGTTGTTTTACGGCAAAATGTTTTATTCCACATTCATCTTCCCAAACCGGTGTTCACTGTTGTTGCCTTTCGTGGTTCCGTTTTCTTATTTCAAGTTATCGTGAATCTCTGACTAGAAAAGTGATCATCTATCTTACATTTCTGTTAGTACTGCAGTAAAGAGCCCCATCCATTACACTTTCATTACCAGCTTAAATTAAGGCAAACAATGAGGAAGTATCTCTTTCATGGATTCAGGTGGACCTGAGCATCAAACCTTTCAGGCCTTCGTAACCAATCCTAGCTTTCTTTAGTCTCAGCAACTTGAACCAGCTGATGGACGTGAGAGTATAATCATCAGAGCTCTAATCTCGGCAATGGTTGGACTGACTTCAGCCTCAAACCATCCACACTTGAGTGACCAGTCCAAGTGAATTTAAGCCTCAAACAATCTTGCTTGAGTGACCAACCCTAGCTGTAGTCTCAGCAACATGAACCAGCAGGTGGACTTGAGCCTCGAACCATCCAGGATTGAGTGACCAACCCTAGCTCTAGTCTCAGCAACATGAACAATGAGGCGGACTTGAGCCTCAGACCATCCAGGCATGATCTGAGTGACCAGTTCTAGCTTTTGAGTCTCTTACAAGACTTGAGTGAGTTTAAGCGTCAAACCATCTAGGCTTGAGTGACCAATCCTAGCTCTGATCTCAGCATCATGAACCAGCAGGTTGGAATGAGCCTCAAACCCTCTTGGCTTGAGTCCTGACTAGGACTGACCAGTCCTTCCGGTAGTTCTTGAACCTTTTATGAGACTTGAGTGAATTTGAACCTTAGACCATCCAGGCTTCAATAACAAACCCCAGCTCTAGTTTCAGAAACGGCTGGACTTCAACCTCAGACCATTCAGGCTTGAGTGATTAACCCTGGGTCTACTCTCAGCAATATGAACCAGCAGGTGGATTTGAGCCTCAAACCTTCCAGGATGGAAAGACCAATCCTTGGCTTGGTCTCATCAACATGAACAAACAGGTTGACTTGTGCCTTAAACCATCCAGTCTTGATTGATCAATCGTGGCTCATGAGACTTTACAGGACGTAAATGAACTTGAGCATGAAACCATTCAGGTTGAGGGGCCAATCCTAGCTGTAGTTGGAGCAAAATGAACAAGGAAGTGACCTTTAGCCTCAAACCATACAGGATTGAGTGACAAATCTTGCTCTGGTCTCAATAACATGACCCAGCTGATGGACCTGAGCTTAATACCATCCAGGCCAGAGTGGCCAACCCTAGCTCTTGAACCTCAAACCGGGCTTGGCTAAGCCATATCTTCAAACTATCCAGTCTTTAGTGATCAATCCTTGCTCTGGTCTCAGCAATATGACTCGGCTGGTGGGTTTGAGCCTCAAACCAACAAGGCTTGAGTGACCAATCCTAGCTTTCGTTATAGTAAAATGAATAAGCAGGTGGAGTTGAGCCTCAAACTATCCAGGATTGAGGGACCAATCCTAGCTCTAGTCTCAACAGCATGAACCATTAGGAGGATATGAGCCTCAAACCATCTAGGATTTAGTGATCAATCCTAGTTTTAGTCTCAGCAATTTGAACAAGCAGGTGGATTTGAGCCGCAAACTATCCAGGATCAAGTGACCAATCCTTGCTCTAGCCTCAGCACTATGAAGAACAGGTGGACTTAAGCCTCAAACGATCAAAAGATCATAAGTCTTAAGTCCCTAACCAGGCTTGCATTTGAAGCAAGATATGGGACGGAGAGAACCCCCTCCTCCTGCCTTTGTGTTGGTCATTGTGAAGAGTAGGCGATGCGAGGGGGGTTGGTTTAGCCGTGGTAGTTGTAGTAGTCCCCAGCCTACTGTCAAGTTCCGTGCATTATCGTTTCACCAAACATAAACCCTAGCCAAACTTAAGAGATAATACACCACAGAACTATAGTACCAGAGCACCTCCGGGCCTATGCCATCTTGTTACAAATGTATAAAATTCACTCGCATAAAGTACTGCTTGAACGCATACACACATGTTCATAACAGTATGCGTGTACACTTATATGTATCACTCAAGGCCATGCCATGCACATCATTACATGTACTACACGTGGGCTATCGAGGCCCCATTTCCATGACAACACTAACCAAATTTATGCCTTAAAAAAATCACCACTTTTAGTTCTCAGCTGTCCCCAAATATACCATTAAACCGGTCTATGATAATGTGCTGTAAAAGTGAGGTACTTAAGAACCAACAAATATCTCTTTAGGTTACAAAATGAAGAAGTGAAAATACAAGTGGCTTCTCAAGGACCGTGGCTGCATGGATGGCCTTTCTAGCCCGAATGGCCTTCTCGATAGTCTTCCTAGCAGTTCTTCTCGCAGTTCGGAGATGCAGCTGGTGGTGATACAGATAGCTCCCTATGTCACCGTCATTGTTGGGGCTTCCCTGCCTGAGTTGGTGCTCAGTGGGAACCAGCCATTTCACCCAAACATCAGAAAGAACGGGTCTACGCCTGTTGTGGAGTGTTTCAAATTGTTGTATGCATACACAAGGGCTTGAAGGTAATCTGGCCACTTCCGCTTCTTCTATTCAGATAGAGCCGCCAGCATGTTGTGCATGGTCCTATTGTACCGTTCGCATTGGCCATTGCCTGCAGGATGATAGGGCGTCGTGTGACTACGCTGTATCCCATATAATTGGCACAGGTGAGAAAACGATCTGGGATTCAAAATTCTGCCTGCGATCTGAATGAAGGCTAAGGGGGCTTTGGCCACAGTGAGGGCCTTCTGGTCTTTTGTAGGTATCGGCCACACATACTTTGTGAATGCATCAGTTACAACTAATACATTCTCTATCCCACTGGTTGAGGGCTCCAAGATGGTAAAGTCCATGGCCAAGACTTCCATAGGTGCCGTTGCTGATAGTGTCCCCAGAGGAGGACGGGTCTTCCGGGTAGGAGCCTTGGCAATGGCACAACGCTTGCACTTTGCGCACCATTCTTTAGTCGCCTTCTCCATGTTATGCCAATAAAACCGGTCCCGCAACAACTGAAAGGTTCTCTTTGCTCCAAAATGGCCATTGTGATCATAAAAAGGGAAGCAGAAGCTGGGAAATAACTTGATGCATAGATGGGCAGACTACCCTCCTTTGCAACAGCTCATCGTACACTGACAATCTCTTCCAGTCCTGAAGGAGGACTAAGGCCAGCTTACTGAAATTTGCACGCTCCCCTCTGGCAGGTTATACCCCTCTTCTGATGAATTCAATCACCCTTCCCAGAACCAGGTCCTCTTTCTGAAGGCTGACAATTTCCTCAGTGGAGCGCCGTGGCAGGCAAGAGATTCCACCAATCCGGCAGACATCTATGCTATCATGAAGCTGCAAGAGAACAGTGGTCCCAGAGGAATGGTGTTCTAGACAAGCATTTACAGTTGAACTGCTCACCCTGGGGGGCACAGGTGCCATTGTCTACCTTATCCTCTGGGGTGGCAGGGGAATCCTTCAAGGCAGCAGTGGAGCTGCCAAACTCAGCTTGCCTTGAGAGAAAATAAGGGACCTGGTTTGACTTCCCCAGCCGGTACACTAGTTTGTAGTTGAAAGAACTCAACTGCAAGACCTACCTCATCTCTGCACAGCCTAAGTTTGCTTTGTCTAGAAACAGGAGCGGATGATGGTCTGTGACGATAGAGAACTTCTGCCCCATCAGGTAGTCATTGAAGACCTCCATTGTGGCCCATTTTATGGCCAGCAGCTCTAGTTTGAATGTACTGTAATGTCCACTCCATTCTGCAGGTCGCAGCGCTCTGGACATGTGTGCTATGACCTGTTCCTTTCCATCCTCATTCAACTGAAGCCACACAGCCCCCAAGCCAGTAGCAATCGCATCTGTCTCTACCCTGAATGGTTGTGAAAAGTCTGCATATGACAAGGTTGGCGCATTGGTCACGTGGTCGATCAGGGCCTTAAAGGCTGCTCCAGCAGGCTTTCCAAAGTCAACCCTAGGGTTCGGTTGCTTGGACTTCCCTCTGCCCTTTCCATCACACTTCAGGAGGTTGAAGAGAGGTCCTGCGATGGCTGCATAACCTCGAATGAACCGTCTGAAGAAGCCAGTAAAACCCAGGAAAGCCCATATTTCTCTCACAGTGGTTGGTTGAGGCCATTGTCGAAGCACTTGGATCTTTTCCGGGTCAACGGCGACCCCATCACCAGACACAAGGTGGCCAAGGTAGCAAACTTGAGACTGCAGCAAATGACATTTGGTACGCTAAAGCTTCAGCCCATGACCTCCAAGCCTGGTAAACACTCGATCAAGGTGCATCATATGGGAGTCAAAGTCTCGAGAGTAAACAAGGCATCCCTGCAGGAGACGCTGAAACGTAGCCGGTGCATTTGTAAGCCCAAATGGCATTTGCAAGTACTCGTAGAGACCAAAAGGCACCACAAATACTGTCTTCCCAATGTCTGAAGGGTTCATGGCTACCTGGTAATACCCACTGGTAAGGTCAAGTACCGTGACCAATTTTGCTCCCCCCAGAGCCTGGAGTGACTCTTCAATTCTTGGGAGAGAAAAGGAATCACGGTACGTCACCCTATTCATCTGCCTGTAATCCACACACAGTCGGATCCCACCGTCTCTCTTCTGTACAATGACCACAGGAGACGCCCAAGGGCTCGTGCTTTCTCGGATGATATTCTTCTCTAGCAGGTTATGGATGTGTTCACGCACCATTTGGTATTGTGAAGGTGGGAGTGGGCGATGCCGCTGACTTAATGGGTGCGTGTCCCCAATGTCAATACAGTGAGTAACAGTGTTTGCGTATCCCAGGTCTTTCTCATGCTTTGAAAACACTTCCTGATGCTTGTCTGGCAGGGCCTCCATCCTTCGCTTCTGATCAGGTGTCAGTTGAGAACTGACGTCCACGCAGATAGGCACCGATGCCGTTTGACATGACGGTGTCCAGGTTCTCTGCTTCGACCAGGCTCTGTGCGTGTTCGTCAACTTTTCTACCAAGGTGTAGCGTTCCCAGTACAGAAGCTTTGGGTATGACGGCGTCAACATTACTCTCGTTATACAGGGTGGTACAAAATTGCCCCTACTCTACCCTGACAAAACACGGTGGGACAGTTATCCCTGAAGGTGGGCCTCCACATTCTGGGGGTTCGAAAATGGCATCATAAGAACTCCTCCCTGGGTAGATACCTCCTGTACCCTCGACAACAACCTCTTGACGGGCAGATACTACGATGGTCTGACCTCCAAGATATGCTCGTCCAACCATTCCTCCTCCAGAACCAAACTTCACTGTCTTCTCCATCAACTGAAGCACTTTCAACTTCTTGGTGTGGCCAAGGGATCTTGGTGAGGCACTCACCGGACAAAGAATTCACAAACTGGTCCCAGCACTGTTGCAAAACATTCATTCTGAGAATGGCGGGTACTCCTTCTCTTCCTAACTTCATGGGTGATTTCTCTTCCAACACCAGCACCACACGAGACTGGATGGTTTGGCCTAAGACTTGTATATCTGTTTCAAAATATCCCACATATGGGATAGCATTTCCATTGGCTGAGACAAGAGAGAAGAATTCGGGAATTGGCTTCAGACGGAAGCCCTTAGGCTCAAGGTATGCCTCCCCAACAGCTCTTGCTAAAAAGTGTCGATCTATGGAAGGTGAGCCCTTTACTCCTACCTCCGCGGTATGGCCTTCTACATGAAATCACGGACTTCTCCATCCTTGCCATCAAATACAGTGATCCTCCAGTCTGGGGCCATCACGAAGGGAGCCTGTGGTCTGGACAGTAGTTTTGCAAGTTCTGCCTCAAGTCCTTGTAGTGAACCAGCTTCAGTGATACCCTTCGCATCTTCTGGGTAAAGCACTGTATACGTGCGTTCACCCCAACCGTCTGGTGGTGGCTTCACTACATCAGCATGAGCAGGGACAACTATTTTCTCCTCTCCCTCAACATACAACAAACCAGTAGCCGAAGGGTGGTGTGAACATAGGGTGGCAAGCAACAGGGGTCCACCCTCTCCACCTAAGGGGTAACGCTGTATTAACTTATGAACTTTAATCCTTGTGTACGCCATACTACAAGAAATATGTATACATATACAACAACTCAAATTCTGGCTATATCGCAAGAGTTGGATCCCTATGTCAGAAATACACATAACCACATGGGAGCAAACAAATTTGAAAAAAAAAAATGAAATAATTCACGGTAGATTCATACTTTTTGTCAACAATGAACTATTACCAATTAAAATATCAATTATGGTAGTCCAAAGTTATGTACCTGGACTTAATTAAAGCTCCAACTTCTATTGAAAGTACTATTTACTCAGCACTTAAGGCAAGGATGAGAAAAAACACACAATCGACTGGAACGTGTGGTCAACTATCACTTGGCAAATGACGGTTTTCCAAGGCAATTTAGAATTACAGCTCAACTTCCGGTCAAAAATACCATTTACACTTAATACATTTGACAACTGTAAAACTTTAATGCCAGTAATTTAGCACTGATACACTTACTTAGCTTTTGATTATAAACACTCTGCTTTTCCAGAAAACTAAAGTACACAATCCAAATCAGCAAAGTTAAGTGCAAATTTACATACTTTTTGACACTTTCTGACAATTAACTAGCGATCAACCATACACCAAAAATTGCAACACTCCTGTATTCTTCCGGGCATCCCAACTCCCCATCATCCCAACTCCCCATCATCCCAACTCCCCATCATCCCAACTCCCCATCATCCCAACTCCCCATCATCCCAACACCCCGTCATCCCAACTCCCCATCATCCCAACTCCCCGTC